TATCTACACATTCTATTTCGATATTGTTAAAAAAAATCATTGTGCGTGTTTTTTTGCAAGTGGAGCTTTATGAGACTATTCTCAGAGAAAAACTACTAATACGCGCCCATAATGACCACTTTTTCGCAAAATAGACTTCGGGAGAACTATCTTAAGCTGGCGTTACATGAACCGCTCTGTCCGGTTTAGCTGCGTGCATTTACCCATGTCGTTATATGCCTACCTGCCTGTTTGTGTTGTTGCCTTGGCCTTTGCAATTCTCGGAACGATCTCTGTTTCAATCTATCGATTTCCGATCTCTCTACGCAGGTACGTCTACGCGCCGTAGGCCAAAAATAGTAACCAGAAGATATTTAAAACAGTATTTAAGTCAGTTGAATATTTTCATCAAAATGACTCAGACTTACAGATAAAGTGATGTTACGACTTTGTTATGAGCTCAAAATAACCATTAATTCTAATTAGTATTCTGTGATATATGACAAAGAAAATTCCAAGTAAGCGATGACGACAGAAATAAATTTTCGACCACCACAAATGTATCATAACTTTCGTCTCAGAAATAATTAAGCTATTAATTAAATTAACAATCTATTTCGTACCCACGCATTCAAGCATTATAATATAATAAGTTGTAATATGATGTGCAGAATCTGCATTGATTAATGATACAGCTAGAGCGCATCATTCATCGTTCGCCTTGTGACATTTTCATCATGACATTTTACCTCGTGATTCTCTAATTATATAACTCAACCGTACAAATTTTTATCGCTATCATGACTTTTCTCTATATCTTACGTTCTTGCACTCCTTTGGTAAAAAAAACCAATGGATTTATTACGCCATCCTGTTCAGAATGTGACATTTTTAGCATAATCGGCTTTTTTTATATTATTACATTACATATGTATATTTTTTATATTATTATATTACATTATATTACATCCAACCGAGATATATTTATATATACTATATGTTTTCAGAATACTTAAACCAGTCAAATTACGGCAAAACAAAAAATGTATGGTGAGATAATGCGTTGTGTTTATGCAACATAAAAATATTATATATTAAAAAAAAAAACAAATTGCTTATTTGTGAATTTTTTCCTTCAATTATTATGCTTTAATAGATATTTTATTTTTAAAAATTACTTCATACTTGATTTTTTAATATTGTTAATACATTCAAAAATCTGCAAAAGCTTAATTTTTATGTTCAACTCTACTCTGTAGATTACAATTGTTTGATTAATAATTGTAATATTTTTTTCTGTCTTTTTTGTTGCTTCAGAAATAACGGAAAAAATCTTAAGCTTTTAATATTTTGCAAGAATTGTTATATTATTATATTATCACAAAAAAAGGAAAAAGATCGTTTCGACAAAGAAATAGTTAGGCGCAGTTTATAAGTGCAATTCTAGTACTATATATTTCTAGTACTATAATCTTTTTTACATTTATATTGCAGGTATTTGCCAGACGAATGTGACGATTGGCCATTTCAATATACAGTTGTGACGTACGTTCGATAAATGGCGTCATTGAAATTTTACGATCACGTAAAAATTCGAATGATATCATGATGTTGTGCTTTCTAATGCGTCATCGATACATTCAAGAATGCAAGTGACGCCAGTAAAGAGAGAAAAGAGCAACATTCACCTACTCGGTGTTTGGATAAGAGATCCGTCACGCAGAAAAAAGCATGTACGTCCCGAGACATGACGTCACGATGCTCAGCGTGTGACATTTTCAGCATGGTATTAAAAGAGAGATAGCGCCGCGCATCAAGTATATATAGCAATACGGCAGTCCGAGAGAGAGAGAGAGAGAGAGAGAGAGAGAGAGAGAGAGAGAAGAAATACAGCGTATCCTTTACAGGAGAGATAGATAAACTATTTTAAAAATATCTCTATTACTCGAAGTAGACCATCTGATCTCTACTCTTTTTGTTGCTAAGAAATCTGTAGGCGATGCAATAGCGGTTTCAAGACAGCGAACGGTACCCTCGCACTAGATTTAATAGTCATATTTTAATATAGTACTGTATTATTATTATTATATTTACGCGAGACTCCTATCAAATTATAATACAACCGGATTGAATGAGCCTTTCCAGTTACTTCGATCGGTTTATGTGGCAAATTACACAACACCGGGGCAAAAAGAATCAAGCGAAATTAAATACAACTGTTTCTCTGCGTCTACTTCTTTCGTGTCTGAGACAGTGGATGGCAAGATATGATGTTGCAAGAAAGCGCCAGATCCCCGGCTGAGTGCAAAGTTGCTCTGCGCGCCACATGATACGCCCATACGCTTTCCGTACACTCCTATAATAATGGATACATGCGCCACGCATGTGCTGGACACTTAGCTAGCCTTTCTCTTTATTTTTTTTTTCTTCTTCTTTTCTCTTCCGCTTTTGTTATTTTAAATTACTTTAGATTTCTCATTATTTGCTATTATTTTATATATTATTTAATTTCACGGTGTATCCGGCAGCCTTACAAAGGCAACATTTTTCTACGATACTTAAGAAACGTGTTTTTTCGTGCGGGTAATAAATTGTATGATTCAACTGCTTTGTGTTCGCAAAAAACAAAAAGAATCCCTAAATTATGTATCGCGAAGTATCCTTGTAAATGCGGACGCGCGTAAATATTTCACCGTGACGATGTCGTAACTACTACATCTGATCTTATCTTATTATTATTAAGATCTCATAAAAAAAAACATAAAACTTTTAAATAATCTATACCCACACAGCACGCATATCCAAAAGATGTTCAAAAGACATCTCGAAGATATCTTTGAGAGATACGATATCTTCGGTTCTCTGAACGTCCTCCAGATATGCATGCTGTATAGGTATGTTTAGAATTTCATAATAATTTAACGATATAACCATTTTCTAATATTATCTCTAAAGTAGATTATAAAACGTTGATAAAAACCATATAACAAAAAAAGTTGTGCGTAAAATCTGTAATTTCTAACAAATATCTAAAAATATAGCTTGTCTTCTATTGAAAAGTAAAATATTATTACTCTCACATTCACATATCAAAAAGGTTTATCGTATAAAAAATTGCACTAAATAGAATTATGGGAATATTCGAGTAATTTTTCGATTGATCTGTGAGAAGCGTGGAAATTTCACGCTCAATCATATACGGTATAAACCTATCGCAGAAACGGGAGTACCGGAGGTCTCTGTCTCTTTCTCTTTCTCACGTACACGCCCTTCACAAAGAGCCCGCATCTCCCGGTCTGATATCTCTGCATATAGCTCGGCCACCATGACGGAAACTGACTCCCATTAGCCGTTATATTTAGTGGCATGAGAATCTGTTCGGGGTTGAAAACTACCTCCCCATGAGATTCGACAGCTCACCCTCATAAACCCACATGTTACGGCGCATACTATGACACCCGCTAATTAGACAAAAGTCAGACTTTGCGGCAGCCGCGCACGGCCGATCGGATCGATGATAAATAGTCGAATATTCTCGCGTGATTGATAAATTAGTATCTTTAACTCATTATCGTGTTGAGTTTCTGAGCACAATGTCTCTCCGATATGTAGAGGAGAGATTAAAAAACTTATTGAGTCATAAATAATATTTCTTCGTCAAAAACAAAAAGACCTAGCTCGCTTCTAAAATTACATCTAACCGATTAAGCAACTAAGAGTCGAGATAACTTTTCTCAGTCATTTCTCCATAAATCATTTCTTTTTTCGCGAGTAAAGATTAATTTTACCGTACCGCGAATGAGACCTCTGTCCACCGCACGTTCGACCTTTTGGTCGGCACTTGACATTGCGCCAACGTGAAACCAACGGGAGTCTCACTTCCTACTCGCGCGACCTCGCGCGACCAAACTTCCGGCTTTCCCTCCGCGAAATGTCACTTCCTTCTTCGATCAATACAACGACGTCATCGGTACGCGCAATTTCGTAAAAAAGTTTGTTTCTGTCCGCACAATTTGCATGCTTTACTTGGTAATTAAATTCCGGATTATTGTTCTGTAACACGTTTATGGTCGTAAAATCATAACGGCGATTGGCAATAAAAAATCGCAATCCACGTGGACAGTTATTGCTCAGAATCTGCGGTCTACATCGCAGGTGAATAGAAGTTGAACTTCATTCATGCTTTGACCGCTGGAATGCGCTCGAGTTGTCGAGCCGCTAAGACTACCTATATCTAAAGTAGTTGTATTCAATAATAGAAACAATCCCATAACGCATTCAACTCGGATTTAGATGCGTTTTCGGAAATAATGATCAAATGATCAATAATGATGAAATGATAATATCATTTCTTCGACATTTAATAAACATCAAAGTAATTTCTTTCATTACACATAACGCAGTATAAAGTTACATTTTTTTAAATCCATAAATTAGATATTTAAGATCTATGGAAATCTTACAAAACTTTGTAAATTTCTTAACCTTTTAAGAATATTCAGCTTTTTCATAAAAGAGAAAAAGCCTTTTTAGAAATATCTAAAAACTATGTTTGTCATTCTTCAGGCTTATTGTAAAAAATGTATCATTTAAAAATTTTATTATTTACGTAAAATATAACATTCTTATCACAATATCGAGGTAGGTGTGTATATTAACTGAGAAAAAAATTACTTCATATTCTATAAATAGTCATAGCATCGCCATTACGTGTATCGACCATATCAAATCCTGTGATTTATCTGCACCCCCTAATACAAGGGACTACGATGTCTCGCTGCCCCAACCTCCTCCAATAAGAACTCTGAACCACTGCTATTGGAGCTCGAAAAGCCTGGTCAACGTTGCTGCAATGATCAGAGACGACAGAAGACTCACGTGAGTCGAAGAAAGCGCGTTTGCACGATTGAAAGAGACCTCGGATGCGCAGTTGCCGCAACGATAAGCCCCTCCACTACAGGACGAAACGTGGGGCACCAAGCCGATTGGCCGATGTTTCCATACCACGGAGTATGCGACGGTCTGCGTGTTCTCTCTTGCCGGCATAAGCGGTGCGGCACTCAGTTAGTTTTGGGAGGCTCTACTGTAAACGTTGTTGAGTGCACCGGACACGAGTACCGGGTACACAAATTCGAGGTACGGGTACTCACTTTGACGAACAAAAGTGCCAAGTTCAAGTTCGTAACACGAAGCAGAGAACGAGAAGCGTCATTCACACAACGATCGACGAAAACGTATCTCCTGTACGTAGAAACGAACATCGACGTCGATTTACAGAAAGCCGGTTGATCCGCGCCTAGATCATTACTTTGCCCGTTCGTTCCTTCACAGACGCGCGCATACGTCTCTTTCCGTCTCGCCCGTTCCTGTTTTTATTAACGTTCCGATACACGTGTCGCGATCGGGACACGTACTGTTTTACGCGTGGGTGCTTTCGATGCGAGCTACGGCGGCGTATATAGCGGCGCATACGGTCGGAGTGGCAGTTTTATTGTGTTCTGAAGAAAGTTCCCTTAAAGCACGTATCCACGACTAGCTGCTGCTTTGACGCTCGCTGCGAGGGACGAGAAAGAAAGGAGGATTGAAAAAGGGGCAGAAGCTCCAGAGATACAACAGTGTGTTTTTGTGCGAAAGCGAGGAACATGTCGACTGCTGTCATGAGTACCCCCATGTTCGAGTGCAGCGATCCTCTTTTTAAGGTAAATTTATTAAACTGCAATCTTAAATCTTACAGTATCCGAGATTAGCGAGAAAGTCTCTCTTCGCGGAGTAAATACTGAAAATCGTACATAATAAATACGGAGAATGTACGAGGGACGAGACCGCAAAGGCATTTCTGCTACGCTTGAATTTCGTATATTGTAAAGTAAATAAATGAATCTTCGAACGGTATTGTGAAGTTTTTCTCTCAATGTGGGCTTTATAACTATAAACCTGCTGAATTTCGAAATTCCTCGTCCCTTACCATTCCACCAATGCTGTATCTTTTACCTACCTACCTACCTACCCATCTACCCACTGCTTTTCAATGCAAAACCAACTCTGAGCCGGATGTCCACAGGTAGGTGGGATGTGCACAAAACTAATGCGAATTTTCATTCCTAAAATTCGTTGGTTATATGACACAACAAAATTCTACAATTTTTTCAACATGATTTCTTCATGAACAATATAAAAGAATGTTTATTAAATTTTGTTTCATGTTTACTGTTCGTACGTTAATTTGTTTAATGTTAAAATAATTATTTTCGATTTCATTTATTGTCACAATACCGTTGGAGGATCAATTTAATTTGTTTATTCCGAAGCGTGCTTATGTCAGTAAATTTTATATCATTTAATAAAATGTGTATACATATATATGTGTGTGCATCATCAAAAGATTGGTTCGTTTATTTTTTGATGTGTGCGTGAGACACGACCGCGTTGACTTATTGTTTTTTGAGTGCTTCTTTTTTTTTCCCTTTTAATAAAACGGCGCGAGCGCGAAGCAAGGTAATTCCGACACGCAACGATCATGCATCAGGAATTATTCACGAGATATAATCGGAAATATGTAACATGTGTGTCGCCGGGGAACATTAAAATCCTCGATCATATCATTTCGGTGGTAGATTGAATCTCACTTCCACGTGATCCGTTATTCGTATTTTCAATATTTCTGGAAATATGACGATCGACACGGCGACGCGGAGCGTCCATGAATCGAGATTTTACGCAAGCAGAAACAGATTATAATTCGAAATACTAAAAACACACATATCGGCAAGAAAAATATCTAGCTGAACCAAGAATCGATCTCTGTGCATTAATATTCCGTTTTTTTTACATATGTCTGATGATACTGTGTTTATAATAACAAGGAAACATCGATATTTTTTCAGAAAGCAATGAAATTCTCTAGAAGATTTCGGGCGTTGATCGCGATATTTATCGATTGCAGATGTTTTTAGACTGTTATTTATGGTTTTTAGACCGTTCTTCGGCGTGATAAAAATCCATTTCTTTTGATTTCATACGTCACACAGTTCGGCATAATCGTTTCGACTATTATTATCTACTACAAGAGACACGTCGAATTAATCTTGAATTTGTAATTTACAAATTTTTCAGTAAAAACCTATAATTACTCGATCAATTAATATGTTGTTGGTCGACACGGAATATTTTAATCGAAATTGTGTGACAAATTCAACAGAACGAATTTTAAACAATTTTAATAATTGAAATGCTTCTATACAATCAACCTATTGAGCTTCTTATTTATCATTTTATCCTTATTATCTGTCAGATATACATAATCTTAAATATCAATATTTTTTGAACGATATTCATCTATTATTAATATCTTGATTTAAATTCTAGTACGATATGATACAACATGGTATTTCTGAAAACTCTTCTTTGCTATCTGAAGTGTTTTTCGATTACTTTGGCAATGATTAAATCAAATGTCCATGAGATTAATATGTATGCAAAACGGAAACACGAATATTTTCGACATAAACACTTTAAATTGAATTTAGAAATGTTTCTCCAAAATCCAGCGTGGTATAAATAAATTTAAATTTGAATAGCCTCACAAAAATCGGCATCCGTTAATAATAATATATTATAATCCACCTATCAGCTGAACGTATTAACAATGATCGCTACCAGTCACGCGTCGTATTCTCCGTTTCGCGTCGATAAGTCGTAAGGCCTTCATCACTCGGACAGACGGTCGCGCGTTCTCGCACGACGTAAATAAAAGGCCTTTGCGAGTCGAGCTAAACTCTCACCTTAGAGAGAACTAGGCACAACACTCTCTTTGGTTTCTCCTCCGACGTGAGTTTCTCTGTGTGACGCGAGCGAGCCTCTCGTCGAATCTTATGACGCGCCCGTGGATTTTAAGAGGATTTAAAAAGGAAAACGAAGCACGAGTAACACCTCCGTAATGACAGTTATTAAATAATAACAGATACTCGAACTATTTGAGATTGTCGTGAATTTCTAACGAAAGAATGATTTAATGGAAACCTTTTCAACTGCAATTTTCGCGAAAGCAATTCTTAACACTTGCGACTGTTGTTCGTTAGAGGTATCATTTTCGTGTTACGTTGTACGATTCTCTTGCAAGGAGATGCGACCGGCACGTGTCGGCGAGAATTCGCGCGCTGTTCTCCACGCACGGAATCGTGCTGGTACTTGGTGGTACCGCTCGCGCGCGCGTTTGTGTTGCTGCGTATTGGATTAACAAATGCATTCTCGCTCTCGCTGTACTCTGCTCGGACCGCGCCGTCGCATCATCGTGCAACACGATAGAAACGAAAAAATGTATTTATTACGCGTTCTATCACAACACGTCCTCGAACGTTCCAACAAATACATGTGAATGTTTACGCGGAAAAACTTGAGTGCACATTAACGGAGCCGAGCACATTAAACGAGTCTTAGATCATCCAATGCAGTGAAGTAAATATGTCGTTAACGAATAGTATGAGCCATACTCATTAACTGTAATTTTACTAATGAACGGGAGAGAAGTGACGTGGGACGACAAGTATGACTATTCTTGGTATAATCAAGATTGCTATTCTTTTTTTTAACGCAATCGACGACTTACTGGCGACTTTCAAGAATGCAAATTTTTTCGAGAATTTTATATCTCCTATTTTAGATATATATTTTTAGAACCATTACACTATAATAACGAAATAACAGATGACAGAATTTCAAGAATAGCAATCTTAATTAGTAGAATTTATTGAAAAACAAATATTGTTTGTATTAGATCTAGCGCAAGATCGTTGCCTTTTACATTTTTGCAAATCCGGATTTTCCGAACCCACAGAGATGACTTATCGAAATCGTATTCTAATCTTTTATTTATTCCTGAATATCACGTGTCCAACGGATGAGGCGAATGGTTTTTATGTGTTTGTACTGCGGTTTTGTGTATTTACGTACAACTTTTGCTGTGACCTCAAAGCGACAGTACGACAGGATACGCCATAACGAAATGTGTGTACAAGTTAATCTTATAAAGGTATCGTGGCTTTAATGCAATGTAACATTATATTATATATTTATATAATCTATTTGAAAATATGATTGAACGCGCGTATTTTATTGCATTATACGTGTGCACGTTCTGTTAGAGATAGCAAAAACATGATTAAATCATACAAGAAATAAAATACACTCGATCTCTCTGACATGTAAAATGTACATTCGTATAAATCAGTGCTCGGAATTAGTCTGAACATTTCAGCCGATTTCCGTGGTATACGCCTCCTTTCCTCTCCTTACCGCGCGCGCCGCAGCCGCTAGGGCCAGCGCTGCCGAGCGTTAAGAGCGACACTATCTGATTATGAGTGGGTTCTTCTCCCTATTTATTAAAATTTTTAAAAATGTATTAAAATTTATTAAAATAAATTTTTATTTTAAATTTATTAAGTGGAAATATTTCAATAGATTTCCACGTCACCCATGAGATACTAATGCTGACGCGTTTTTTTTTAAGTGGTTTCCCCCGTAGATCTATTCCACTAAAGATAAAAATAAATTCTTAATTTAAAAAAAATATATATAAAAGAAATTTTCTTAATTAGATTTTCTTGGCCTTTTATGAGAATGAACAATTGATGCAATAATGTAGATAGAAACCACTTTTTGAAAAACGTGTCAGTATTAGTACCTTATGGGTGACGTAGAAATCTATTGAAATATTTCCACTTAATAAATTTAAAAAAAATTTATTTTTAATAAATTTTAATAAATTTTTAAATTTTTAATAAATAGGGAGAAGAACCTACTCATAGAACCTAATCAGATAGTGCCGCTCCTAACGCTCGGCGGCGCTGGCCCTAGCGGCTGCGGCGCGCGCGGTAAGGAGAGGAAAGGAGGCGTATACCACGGAAATCGGCTGAAATGTTCAGACTAATTCCGAGCACTGGTATAAATGAAGACACGATAAATGAAATGAGTAAAAAAGTTGACTCCACACACGTTTCATACATATGTATGTCATTTAATTAATATTCAATTATCAAGCAATACAGTACGTATTGCGAAAGGAACGATTACCATCTTTCTGTAAACATCATTTTCATCCGTTGTGTATCCTTCGCTCATACATTATGGGGAATAATACAAGGATACGCGATTGCTTCACACAGAGATATTGTGAAACCGTCATTTTTCTTGCGTGTATGCGTGTGATATACGATGTGGTATCGTCTATATGTTATCGTTGTAGAAACTGATACTGATCGAGAAGCTAAACGAACGAAACGACAAGTCAACTTTTTATTCAATATGACTTGTACTACACATATGTAAAATTGATTGCTTGCACGCGCATTGACACAAAACTCTCAATCTGTCGACGGAGAATCAACTGCTGTTTTCGTGGCTTTATTTGTGGTTGGCAGGACATCCGGTGATTCTTGAATGTCTTATACAAGTATACACGAGACAAAAGGAACGAAGATTTTCAGGTTTGCGGCAATTCTACGTATTAATACGCTACCGCCAGACATTATTTCTGAAAACATACTCATATGTCACTACACGTCTTCGTCGCGTAATTATGCGTGGCGCGAACGCGTATGTATCATACGATTTCCGGAATGAGTCTACCATTGCGAGCCGGCTCACTTGTCATTTCCCGTCTTATTATCATGCAAACACGATTAAGCATACGCGAATTTAAACA